GGCCTTCCCTTTCGTCTTCTTGCTGGTGGTGCCAATTCGGCCCTTCCCTCTCGTCCTTCTTGCTGTGGTGCAATTTCGGCCTTCCCTTTCGTCTTCTTGCTGGTGGTGCCAATTTTCGGCCTTCCCTCCGTCTCTTGCTGGTGGTGGCCAATTTCGGCCTTCCCTTTCGTCTTCTTGCTGGTGGTGCCAATTTCGGCCTTCCCTTTCGTCTTCTTGCTGGTGGTGCCAATTTCGGCCTTCCCCTTCGTCTTCTTGCTGGTGGTGCCAATTTCGGCCTTCCCTGTCGTCTTCTTGCTGGTGGTGCCAATTCGGCCTTCCCTTTCGTCTTCTTGCTGGTGGTGCAATTTCGGCTTCCCTCTCGTCTTCTTGCTGGTGGTGCCAATTTCGGCCTTCCCTTTCGTCTTCTTGCTTGGTGGTGCCAATTTCGGCTTCCCTCTCGTCTTCTTGCTGGTGGTGGCAATTTCGGCCTTCCCTTTCGTCTTCTTGCTGGTGGTGCCAATTTCGGCCTTTCGTTTTCTGCTGTGTGCCAATTTCGGCTTCCCTCTCGTTTCTTGCTGGTGGTGCCAATTTCGGCCTTCCCTCTCGTCTTCTTGCTGGTGGTGCCAATTTCGGCCTTCCCTCTCGTCTTCTTGCTGGTGGTGCCAATTTCGGCCTTCCCTTTCGTCTTCTTGCTGGTGGTGGTTTCCCTTTCGTCTTCTTGCTGGGTGGTGCCAATTTCGGCCTTCCCTTCGTCTTCTTGCTGGTGGTGGCAATTTCGGCCTTCCCTCTCGTCTTCTTGCTGGTGGTGCAATTTCGGCCTTCCCTTTCGTCTTCTTCCTGGTGGTGCCAATTTCGGCCTTCCCTCGTTCTTGCTGGTGGTGCCAATTTCGGTTGTCTGCTGGTGGTGCCAATTTCGGCCTTCCCTTTCGTCTTCTTGCTGGTGGTGCCAATTCCGGCCTTCCCTTTCGTCTTCTTGCTGGTGGTGCCAATTTCGGCCTTCCCTTCGTCTTCTTGCTGGTGGTGCAATTCGGCCTTCCCTTTCGTCTTCTTGCTGGTGGTGCCAATTTCGGCCTTCCCTTTCGTCTTCTTGCTGGTGGTGCAATTTCGGCCTTCCCTTTCGTCTTCTTGCTGGTGGTGGCAATTTCGGCCTCCTTTCGTCTCTTGCTGGTGGTGCCAATTCGGCCCTTCCTCTTCGTCTTCTTGCTGGGTGCCAATTTCGGCCTTCCTCTCGTCTTCTTGCTGGTGGTGCCAATTTCGGCCCTTCCCTTCGTCTTCTTTGCTGGTGGTGCCAATTTCGGCCTTCCCTCTCGTCTTCTTGCTGGTGGTGCAATTTCGGCCTTCCCTCTTCGTCTTCCCTTGCTGGTGGTGCCAATTTCGGCCTTCCCTCTCGTCTTTTGTGGTGGTGCAATTTCGGCCTTCCCTCTCGTCTTCTTGCTGGTGGTGCAATTTCGGCCTTCCCTCTTCGTCTTCTTGCTGGTGGTTGCAATTCCGGCCTTCCCTTTCGTCTTCTTGCTGGGTGGTGCCAATTTCGCCTTCCCTCCGTCTTCGTCTTGGCTGGTGGTGCCAATTTCCGCTCTTTCCCTTCCCTTTCGTCTTCTTGCTGGTGGTGCCAATTTCGGCCTTCCCTTTTCGTCTTCTTGCTGGTGGTGCCAATTTCGGCCTTCCCTTTCGTCTTCTTGCTGGTGGTGCCAATTCCGGCCTTCCCTCTCGTCGCTTGCTTGGTGGTGCAATTTCGGCCTTCCTTTCGTCTTCTTGCTGGTGTGCCAATTTCGGCCGTCTTCTTGCCTTTCCCTTTCGTCTTCTTGCTGGGTGCCAATTTCGGCCTTTCCCTTTCGTCTTCTTGCTGGTGGTGCCAATTTCGGCCTTCCCTTTCGTCTTCTTGCTGGTGGTGCCAAATTTCGGCCTTCCCTTTCGTCTTCTTCTGGTGGTGCCAATTCCGGCCTTCCTTTCGTCTTCTTGCTGGTTGGTGCCAATTTCGGCCTTTCCCTTTCGTCTTCTTGCTGGTGGTGCCAATTTCGGCCTTCCCTTTCGTTCTTGCTGGTGGTGCCAATTTCGGCCTTCCCTTTCGTCTTCTTGCTGGTGTTTGCCAATTCGGCTTCCCTTCCCTTCGTCTTCTTGCTGGTGGTGCCAATTTCGGCCTTCCCTTTCGTCTTCTTGCTGGTGGTGCCAATTTCGGCCTTCCCTTTCGTCTTCTTGCTGGTGGTGCCAATTTCGGCCTTCCCTTTCGTCTTCTTGCTGATGGTGCCAATTTCGCCTTCCCTTCGTCTCTTGGTGGTGCCAATTTCGGCCTCCCTTTCGTCTTCTTGCTGGTGGTGCCAATTTCGGCCTTCCCTTTCGTCTTCTTGCTGTGTGCCAATTCCGGCCTTCCCTTTCGCTTCTTGCTGGTGGTGCAATTTTCGGCCTTCCCCTTTCGTCTTCTTGCTGGTGGTGCCAATTCGGCCTTCCTTTCGTCTTCTTGCTGGTGGTGCCAATTTCGGCCTTCCCTTTCGTCTTCTTGCTGGTGGTGCCAATTTCGTTCCCTTTCGTCTTCTTGCTGGTGGTGGCAATTTCGGCCTTCCCTTTCGTCTTCTTGCTGGTGTGCCAATTTTCCCTGTCGCTGGTGGTGCAATTTCGGCCTTCTTTCGTCTTCTTGCTGGTGGTGCCAATTCTTCCCTTTCGTCTTCTTGCTGGTGGTGCTGGTCTTCTTTCTCCAGCACTCTGCGCCCAGCATACTCCTCGTCTCTTCTTTTCACATGACCAAACCACCTGAGTCGGGCTTTCCTGAACTGTTCCGTAATGCGCGTGATTCCCAATTTTTCTCGAATCCCTTCATTCCTCACGTGATGTTACTTGTCTTTTAATCATACTGTATCATTACTTAACCGTAAGGATTAGCTAACGTAAGATTCTCTAACGTTCCGCGAATCCACAAGGAAAGGTATGACTAAATTTCCATATTTGTCTTAAACCCTGTTATTCATATCACAACTGGTACTGCTATTACTACATCTACTACTGCTATCACCGCCACCACCATTACTACTACTTCTACCACTACTACTACTTCTACTACGACTACTACTTCTACTATTACTACGACTACTACTATTACTAATACTATTATTACTATTACTTCTACTACTACTACATCGACAACCACCACCACTACTACTGCTACTACAACAACTACTACTACTACTACTATTACTACAACAACAACAACAGCAACTACTACTACTGCTAATAATGATAATACTATTATAACAACAACAACTATTACTACTACTACTAATGCTACAACAACTACTACTATTACTACTATCACCACTGTTAGTATTTATGACAAAAATAGCAATGATAATACCATTAACGGAATGCAAATCTACTAACTATACCAATGCCAAAAGGAAGACAAACAAGATGAAAACGACAAGTAAAAAACAGCAAAACATGATCACAAACCATGCATCTAGGAACCTTTTATAAACTAATTACATTATAATGAGGTTCTCCATACTTCTTAAATGACCCAGAGACACACAGAGACCAGAGGACGCACTTCGGAACGTCTTGTCACAACGTAAAAAAAAAAAAAAAAAAAAAAGTCATCCTCAGCCATAAAGACGTTATGGCTGCGTGACGGTATAGCCACAACGAAAGCCGAGAGTGGATGACCCGAGTTCTATTATCGTTTTTTTTTCTTTTATTTCTCTTTCGTCCTCCTTTTTTTCGCATGGGAAGTTGAGGATGCGCGACTAAGAGGGTCTGGACATTCCGCTCTGCCGTCCGTGAAGCGAGGTGTGTTCTTACTACTTTTTGTGTATGTAAAGGATTTTTTTTGTAGGCAGAATAAGTCTCTGAGATTTGGAATTAGCGCACACATAACAAAAAAAAAGTAAGGGGGGAGAGGAGGGGAAAGAGTGAGAGAGAGAGAGAGAGAGAGAGAGAGAGAGAGAGAGAGAGAGAGAGAGAGAAGAGAGAGAGAGAGAGCGAGAGAGAGAGAAGAAGAGAGAGAGAGAGAGAGAGAGAGAGAGAGAGAGAGACAGAGAGAGAGAGAGAGAGAGAGAGAGAAGAGAGTAGAGAGAAGAGAGAGAGAGAGAGAGAGAGAGAGAGAGAATCTTCTAATTGTGGCCAATTTCATTTGTACATATCGGTGGGACACGTTATTGAGTGTACCGATATGTGTGCAACGATATGTGCAGACGCAAAAATAATTTTTATTACAGAGACACACAGACAAGCATGCAAACATACTTCTACATACAAAGGTGTTTCCCAAATATACACACGAACGTCTGATTTTCGAACAATGATCAGATACGGTATAAATTCCTTTAAACAGACTAAATTCAGATGAAGCCGGGATTAAGTTTCATTGCCGTTTCAGATCCCATTATGAAATCGTTAGGGAAAGTAATATACTTGAACCTCATTCCATTGCATGTGCTTATCTTTCTTTATGTACAAGAAATTGAAATCACTAATGTTCTGATTTTTGGCACATGAGTATTATAACAAAGACACTAGTTAAGTCACTGGGAAAGTAGAACAGCGGTTTAATTCAATTTTTATAATAGCTTGAATATATGGCCTGCTTGATAGCTAGGCAAAGAGTACCGCTACGATACCATAGCGGTACTCCTAACCTAGCCATCTCCTTAATTGTTGAAATTTGTGTCGGTTAACTGGTTGATTGGGTAGATGGGCCACTGCCAGGTCCGGTAAATGATTAAATTGTTATACGATTATAGTGTTTTAAAGGAAAATAAAGTGACCAAACTACCATAAAACTAGATTACTCAGCGTAAAGAGTTCATATACCCTATTTGTAAGTTAAAATGGACGAGGCTTCTCTGATTCACTTAAAATCAATCATATTTATCATCTGAACTATAAAATCTGAACTACAAATATTGATATTCTGTTTACTGCATAGTCTTAAATAAATCACCTAATTTGCAATGCTGGACAAATTATAACGAGAAATTTCATATAACGTGGCGCGGTTATAGATTCCAGAGCCTGGCGGTATCTGGCACCTATCCAGGTAGAGGTCGGCTGGGTTACCTGCTGGTCAGTGTCGACTGTGCAGCGGCAGTGAGAGGGTGTTATTGTGGTGCTCACTTAAATCATCACTGGATCTCGCTGACGGCTGATAAAGTGATCGTTTTCGCACTTGATAAGAGAGATAAGCCAATACGGGATATTATACTTACTTGCCGCGGAGGAGAATGCCGTTCTGCTAGATCTCTGAGACG